TCGCAAAATAGCGTGACATAACGCAAAATAACATAAAAAACATACTATTTCAACATTTCACACGTAAGATTTTTGGGAAAAACGTTAAATATATAAAGCCACGTTGCATTTTTTTGTAAAAATATAATATAGCAAACTATTTAAATCAATGAATTAGGACAGAAATATAATTTTAACCTTGGATGAGGATGTTGGGTTCTCTTGATGCTCTAGTTGTTCTGTCTTTGCTAGTAGTCTTTAGTCTGATTTGGTTTGTGCTTTTTTATGTTATTTTCTCTTTTAGGTTCCTTGTTAGATGCTTCAACTAGGCCATTTAGAGCAGTGGTTGTCGCTTTTATTTTCTTAAGTTTGTCATTTCGACAGCAAGACATAACGATTCTACTTTTTGGATCCTTTGCTAGTCAATGTCGGGAGTAGATTTTTATGCTTTCTCTTTGTAGGTTCTAGTGCACCTTGAAGTGCCACTCCGATTTCCTTTTGAAAATTTGTATGGGTTTTTCAACCGGATTGTATAACTTTATTTGAGCTATAAAATCTATGGATTCAAAAAAAGTTAAAAAAAAAAAGAGAATGAATTTATGATTAGAAATTTATGCCCTAAATTAAATGGTACATCAAATTCAAGGACAAAACAGTCAAAAAAAATAATAGCAGCCGTAAACAATGACGCTAGGGCATACACCCGTCACAAGCAAAGAAATGTACATCTTAGTCCGTCAGATTTCATTTCATCCAACGCTCCACAAAAAACCCTAATCACACTCTCCCAGCTATAAAACCCTTTTTTTTTGTTCAGAGAGACTTCTCTTGCTCTCCTTCGATTGTAAAGCACTGCGAAATCGTTTCTCTGATTATCTCCAGCAAGATTTCTCGCTAAGGTTAGTTCGTAGAAGATTGTATTTCTACTTATCCTCCATTTTGTTTGATATCAAATGTTTGTGATTTTGATTGATTGCTCCATGAAAAATACTGTTTGGTAGTTTTGGTCGTGAATCGTATGTTAATATTTAATTTAAAGACTCTGTTTTTCTCGAATTATAGATTCAAGTTTTGATGTAATTTGTTTTGGTGCAACCTTATATGAGAACACATAATCTATACAGTTCAAGAAAAGCCAAGTTATATGCGTTTAATATAGCTTAATGAATTGAGTTGTTTTGCTAACTCTGAGTATTCAGATCAGCATGAGTTAACCTTTGTTTTGTAATTTCTCTACTGCGTGCGATTTTTGCCTGATTTATGTTGACGTTTTTACCTCGCGTTTGATTGATATCTTATTTATTTATATTATCTGGAATAATTTAGTACCTAATGGTTGTTATATTCTTGTCTACTGAATATATATTGTAACCACTAATGGTTTCTTAATTGATCTGTTTGGTATTTTTGTGTCAACTCTGTGAGTAATAATAACACCTGAAAATTTGGCAGTGACGGCTTGAAATGGGTAAGGAAAAGGTTCACATCAACATTGTGGTTATTGGCCATGTCGACTCTGGGAAGTCAACCACAACCGGTCACTTGATCTACAAGCTTGGTGGCATTGACAAGCGTGTGATTGAGAGGTTTGAGAAGGAGGCTGCTGAGATGAACAAGAGGTCATTCAAGTACGCCTGGGTGCTCGACAAGCTCAAGGCCGAGCGTGAGCGTGGCATCACCATTGATATTGCTCTCTGGAAATTCGAGACCACCAAGTACTACTGCACTGTCATTGATG